ATGGCTGGCCTGCCTGATCTGAGCCGGCCGGCTCCACCCCCACCGGAGAAAATGGAGGCAGTGCTGATGCCGGCGCCTAGCCTGGTGTGGTAGGCGGGAGCTGGGCAGGCGTTTGCCCCACAAGTGGGGCTGGGCTGGGGGTCACTCACAGAGCTCCCAGAGCTGGGCCGGTCCAGCGCCTTCCTCACCGTCTCTGCGTTGCCACTGCCATCTTTCCTGGCCTTTGTTGCCTCGGGCTGCTCGCTTGGTCTCCCGGCGCGGTTGGGGCGTTCTCAGGAATCTTCTTTTGTATTGGCCCTAAAACCTCGAGACTGTAGTTGCTTTTTTTCGTTGTAGAATAGTTGATCAGTGGTTTTTTCGTTTTTTGTTGCTCTTGGAAATGCAAATAGTACTCTGGCAGCACAGCGCACACTTCTCAGGCTCGCTTTGTCTTCTGGCACGCCTGCTCCAGACCCGTCACCATCTTCCTTAACCAAAATTTTGAAGTAAGTTATTTGTTATAACAATTGAGATGCTCCTCAGAGATGTAACTAGGTTCAGCTCATTCAAGAGGATTTTGTCCAGTTTCTTTATCAGCCTGTTATTTCTTATTATATGAGCAGTAGGGGCAGCTTTTTTTCGAATGCTGGTTGTAGGTCCAGTTTTCACCACGTGTCTGGGACTTACCAGGTCTTTTGCACTAGTTTCAGAGGCTGGGAAGTCCAAAGTCAAGCGAACATATCTGGTGGTGGCAACAGCGACCCAGGGGCCTCACATAGAAGAAATTGGTGGAGTAATTTGTATGTTTTCTGAATTGAAGTGTGGTGACCGTGACTTAGACTTGGCAAGGATAGAATGAGAATGGATTTCAAAGTGCTTTGGAAAACTATGACTACGAATTATATAAGTCAAAGTAATACAGAGATGTTAAGTTGACTGCTTAATATTTCACTGTTTGCCATGCTGACTTTCAAAAGAATCAACTAACATTTATTGTATTACTTATAGCATAGGCTAAGCTACTGCAACAGACACAAGATAATGTTTTATTTTAACTTATACATTGCAATTGTACATACTTATGTGGTACAATCTGTTTTGATACATATATATGTTGTATAATAATAGGGTCAGGGTAGTTAATGTAGCTATCACCTCATGCATTTATCATTTCTTTGCAGCAAAAACATTCAAAAGCCTCTCTTCTAGCTATTACGTAATGCACAAAACTCAGTGTTTTCAATAAGATAGAATTTACTTTTTAATGCGAGAGGCCAAAAACAGGCAGAAAGATTGGGGTTGGTAGATAGGTGCTATAATAACAATCACTTTTGCCACCCTTAACATGTAGGCACTGTCTTTGGACCCAAGGTTGTCACTGCCTCCAGCCAGGAGCCAGGGGCAGAGCATATACTGGGCAAGCAGCTCGTCTGTTGGTTGGGGATGCCCTGCATATTGCACTCACTTCTGCTTATGTTCACTTGAGCAGCACAGGAGGCTGGGAAACCATCTGCAGCTCAGGAACCATGTGTCCGGCCAGGAGTGGGGAGGAAAGGAGATCTCTTAAAAAAATATAATAGGGTACAGTTTAGTGGCCTCCAACAAGTTGAGATATGTTTTACTGTAAAGGTCTGCCAAGCTTTACCCATAGTTTGATTTGCATTCGTCTGCTGCCTTGATATCAAGTAGCAGGCAAAGCTTTTCAGCGGCCACATGTGTTGTATATTTTTGTCACTGTTAACGCATACTGAAATTTTCATACATGACAGGTATACGAGAGATGTTTTCATTCTGTGGGATTTGCTAGTCATCATGATACGTTACCCCTCTATCTGATATAGCACACTTTGACTTTTGTACAGTGTTGAAATCTTTGAGAGCCCATACAACTTACATGCCATAGATGAGTAATGCACCAGATTGTTTGGCATAGGGGAAAATCCCCATGAGTTTGGTATCAGAAGTGTTGTGTTGAGTGTGTGACAGCAGAGGAGAAAATTGTTCTAATACCTTAATTACCTATTGTCTCTATGATCATTATAACCAGACCAGCCTAGTAATCTGAGTCTCTTGTTACTAGCCTGACTACATCCAGCTGATTAATTCACTCATTCATTTATTTAATGAACCTTTGAGTGCTTGTGATGTTCCAAATGCTATGGTAGGTGTTGGGGAGTACAAAAATGAAGGAAGACATGCTTAGGAGAGTTTGAGGCACTTCCAAAGGGACCTCTTTGGTAAATAGCCAGATATGCAGGATTGAACCTCATGCATAGATCTGGATTATTGGTGGCAGATGAAACCTTAGTAATTGATGGGATTTTCTGGTAAGAAGTGAAAGAGGACCTAGAATAAAACCTTAACCTTGATAAAGGACTGGAAGGAAGAGTGAAGAGTAAGAGCTCAGTGATAGGGGGCTCTTTCAGAGAATACCAGGAAGGGAGTATGACTTAAACTGTCAAGTGCTGCAGGAAGTGGTCATAGGATCAAGACCAAGTAAAATCATGAGATTCCACCTTGGAGGCCATCAGGGGCTCCAAAGGAGCTGTCCCACTGGAGAGTTTGCCTCAGAAGCAAGGTCGCCGTTGTTTAAGGAGTGAATGGGAAAGAGGAATTGGAGATGGCTATGGGAGAGAGAATGGCAGTAGGATCAATCTCTCACAGCTGGGACTCCCGAATGGATTTGCTTGTGGTGCTTAACATTTAAAGATGTCTCCTTGGAAGAATTTATGTTGGTACAGATGCCAGTTAAGTATGAGATACCTTTCTATTACCTTGTCTGTAAAATTCCCACAGTGGGTATGTTTTAGTTCTAGTGTTTTACATTCACTGTGCAGATGGATCTTTTCATTAAGGTGACGAAATAATTTTTGAGGGCAGCATTGCTTATGATAGTTATTTCCTAATTGTGGAAGTTCTGCATCTGATGATATTTCTGTTGACTTGAACAGCTGGCTTCCTTGTTGGTGCGCCTTTGCCTAAAGGTGAATGGGGAATTCAACATTAGTAGTCACAAAATTGCTGGCAGGATTTCACAAGTGCTGCCATAAGTTATGCTGATTATAATATGAAGATTATGTGGAGGGATTTTGGATCTCTGCAAGCTTTGATACACTATTATATTTTAAATTTCACTTAAAATGAATGATATATAAGATCTTTACATTATTAGAATGTTTATAATGGGACTCTCTCAGAACTGACCTATTTCAGACAATAGGAGATTCACATTAAGTGGGCTTATGCTACACAGATATGCAATGATCAGTATATCTATAAACCCATAATTGCTTTAAGTGTATCATACTAATTGCCCTGAACGTGTACATTAAAAGAAGCTAAAGGCAAACTTGTCAAAATATCTCCAAAACGATTCTAATCTGCATAAGTTCTACAGAAGGAACAGATGTCTTTATAATGAAGTACCTTTGTAAAAATTTGAAAACTTATTATACACATGATTCAGTGTAACTTGGTGTTCCTCCCCCCC